TACAGGTAATGTAATGTTCGAATATTTACAAAAAAAAAAAAAAAAGGATATTGAAAAAAATAAGTGCGTTTCTTATTCAACATTGATATAAATGTACATATTATTGTAAATTTCATCGTGTTGGTACCTGTTTATATAGAAGTCCGATGTGGACATTTGAAAGGCTGTTCTAACATTTTCAATAAAATAATTTATGTGATTTTTAAATCAGTGGTACTCTTATTTTCTACAGCTTACAACAACTTATAACTAATTATAAATCTATAAAATACTTAATTTAATATATTCTTCGTTAATACTTCTTCACTCTTCGATGAAATTCTTTCTAATTTGCAAAAACGATTTTTTTTTCGTCTCTGGTAAATAAAACACTAGGTAAAAAATACTAAACACGTTTAGCGCAGAGATGCACAAAAATGCAATAGAATATGCATTATATTCTAACACGACGACATTCCAGATGCGCAACATAATGAACGACCACATGAAGTTTACGTAGAAACAAAAGCTGATACACGTTACTTTCGCGTATATCGGAAATATTTCGTTTATAATAACATAAGGCAGAATGGCCAATCCCAACGAGATGCTCACAACGTAAAATAATGTCGCTATCAAAGGTAATATTTGTAGATCCATAATATATATAGAGTTTTTCTGCACGTAAAAGTAAATACCCAATAGAAAACTGAAACTGGAAACGCCTACTGTGGATATAATCATCAAAGGTCTTCTTCCTAAACGATCCACTAAACTGATACACATTAAAGATGAGATCAGATGCACCGTTATTAAAACGATGTTGGTATAACCTTTTTGCAATTCACCGTTATAATTCTCGAAGATCGTTTGATAGCCAATAAGAATGATCGAGCCTGAGAATGCTTGCAGCATCATTACACCAATACTGATAAAGATTATCTTTTTGCCACCTGAAACATAAAATATTTAATATATTAGAAATTGCGAATAGATATAGGGTTTTTCTCAAAATTTTACAAAATTTAATCTACCTGATTGAGATATTACGTTGAAAATGGAAGATAAAATTCCTTTATTATCAGCATCCCATACCATGATCGAATCCATTTCCTCGCTAATATCAGCCGAATCACGTAAAAATATCAAAGAATCCATAGCGGCCTCGAATTTTTTTTGGCGCAACAAATAATAAGGCGTTTCCGGAAACCAGATAAACATTATAAATTGCAACATTGCCAACGACAACGCCACATAAGAATATTGTTGCACAGTGCCAAGCGAGCCGATTACATAGCCCAAAAGGTTACCGCAATAATCCATTAATATGAAGCAACTGCACAAGGCACCGCGAATATACGTAGGAGAGATCTCTGTCACGAACATAGAACCACTCGTGAAAATTATACCGTTGGCTATACCGCCTATGAAACGTGCGATATACAGATTCTGAAAATAATAAAAATTGATAAGTATCAATATATATTTGATAAATATCAATATATGACTTGTAAATTAATGTGAAAAATAGAGAACCGAGTTGTGTAAATATTGAAAATTCACTCTTGAAATATGAAAAGAAAGCTTAAATATAATTATTTAATGAATATTCGTATTCTAAAAACTATAATGTACGTGTACCGTTGTCGTTGAATTCCATACTATTAGTAACCAACTTAAGCATGTAGGAATGATAGCTAATAATATTGAAATTTTTCTGCCTATAAAATCAGCGATGAATATCGAAACGAAACATCCGAGTGACATTCCTAATTTGAATATTGACATTAACCAGGAAGCCTCGCTCGTAGTGATTTCGAAAGGAAGACCATCGATTAATATTGGGGACGTCCATCCCAAAAATAGACCACCATTGAGTTGAGCTAAACATACTGTCTTATCGGAACGATTATTGGAACTATAACTTGCAAACGAATAATTGACATGTTTTATAGCATTTTTTCTTACCAACAAAAGTAACCAAGTAAAGTTTTATATTTGACATATTGACGATTGCCACCTGACTCGAACGTTTTTACGAGGAAATAAAATTGTGTTTCGCAACAAATATAATTGCATAGATAAAAGTATTCTATTAGTCTTTTCTTTGCAGACAAGGTGAACGAGCTGCGATAACGGGTCATTAAAATGTTTTACTATAATTATCATTATAATATTACGTTCTGAACTAATTACAATAAATAAAAATATAAAATACATGGATAATATTTAAAGTATATCCCAGATAAATCATCATAAAGTTAATTTTGTTGCCATTATTGAAAAATCTAACATTTATAATGATACATTTATAATGATAACTCATTTGTACTCAAATGTTTTGCAAAAATAAGAATTAAATAATTACATATAACAAATGTGAAGATCAGGGAATAAGATATATATATATAAATCAAAATTCTTGGTATAATTTTTTACATATAGCAATATGATTTTATGCGATGGTATTTTCATATATATATGTATATATGTATACTTATTCTTAGTAACAAGCTACATGGATAGAACTGCAGTTTACGTAATCTAATAACTTTTCAAAACTCAATTATTGAAAAACATATAGATTCTATATGATATTTATTTAAATACATTACTAACATGCAATATATAAATTATTACTCTATATTTATTTATCAATAATTATTTCTTTCTATTATTTCATCATGTTTAATTTTCTTTTATTATTCACTAGAATTCATGATAAATCAAATTACTTATTATTTTTCTTTTTATATGATAAATAAATGAATAAATCTAATAAATTTATAAAAAAAATAAAAAATTTATAAAAAATTTATAAAAAAATTCTATATGCTCTGATCAAATATTTATAAAGAACGTTTTATATCTTTAATTTTCCACACTTTTTAATTAGGAGTAAATAAATAATAGTAAGATATAAAATATTAAATATTCTTATCTTCGTAACAAAATATTTGATCATATAATAAATTGACTTAAATAATTTTTAAATATGAAGAAAAAAAATATCAATTTCTATATATTCATATTAATGAAAAATATATTTTAGAATATTTGTGATATAATTATATAAATTATCTTAGAAAAAATAATAAATTATTGATTTGTTAAGAGAATTTATTTCATCAAACAAATTTAAATTTTAAAATAATTGTGTTGTAAAATATCAAATTGAATCAAACAAGGACAGCATTAATAATCAGAGAAACATTCTCTTGTCTATATGATTTTCCAGAAGTAGTTCTATGAATTCATCAATTAAATCTCCAATTTGTGATATAGAAATGATCCAAGTTATCTCGTCAATAGTTATTACGTTCTGTAACGAACTTGGCTTCTCTAAAATTTCTAGCAAATGTGACGTCTAAGATGAATATCTATATCAAAAGCAAGTAAATTGAATGAATCCATATTCACAATTTAAGAAACAATATTGTCTATCAAATATAAGTTTCATAAGTTTTTTCTAAAAAGTTATAAATTTCTTAATATAAAGATAATATTTTTTTAAAATTTAGATATATACATATCTTTTCATTTTAGATGATAAAAAAAATTTACAACTTTTAATTATAATTTATATCCATGCAATTGATCCTGTATCTCTTGCAATGTTTTTCTTCTCGTTTCGGGTACGCAGTAATATATAAAAATGATACCCACGATAGTGGTGAAAGAAAAGAACCAAAATGCAATATATGTCCCATACTGAATAGCAATAGGTTGATAAGAGAAAGTCACGATAGTAGAACAAAAATAACAGCATAACATTCCAATTGTATTGCCAAGTGCTTTAACATTCGTAGGAAAAACTTCACTCATCATGGTAAATGGAAGTGCAGCCAAGCCGAAGGCATACATGATAATGTAAAGTATCGTTCCAATAGCTGGTAACCAAACGATCCCATTGATGTCTAATTGCATTTCCCGAAGGAAAAAAGACAAACCAATAAGAAAAGTGGAAATGAAAACGCCCGATGCTGAAAATATGAGTAAAGTCCTTCTATTGTACCGATCCACCACAGATGTACTGATAGCCACACATATTATTTGGATACCACCCAATATCATAGTCAGGTATTTGCCTTCAAATTCGTTTTTCGTCTCATTGAAAATTATTTCGGCATATGAAAGTATTGCCATACTGCCACTCCATTGTTGAATCGTGATTAAACCCAATACAACTATTAACGCTCTACAAAATAAAAGAAATTAAATATATTCACCTTTGAAATCAAAAGAAGTTATTATTTGACTATCATTGAGATCATATTAAGAATATTTAAAATCACTTAAAGATTTCAAAAATATGATATACTATACTATACTTCCGATTTCCTGAGATGCTGATTAATTCCCATAATCCAGTATTATTAGCCAAATCAATTTTTATATATTTCTCGATGATCTCAGCTTCTTTAGAAACATCCGTAGTTCCTCTTAAGTGCATAAGAGATGTAATCCCCTCCTGATATTTCCCATGGCGCATTAAATGATACGGAGATTCCGGTAATGATATCAAAATCATCGAGAAGAGAATTGGTATTGATGATGATACAAGTGCGAGATCTCTTAAAGAAAGAAACGGTCCTATCAGCCATTCAATCAGTATACCAAATTTTGCAGCTACAGTCAACGATGAAGTTAATATTCCTCTTATTTTAGCTGGTGAAATTTCACCTACGTACATAGTGGCAGACACATGCCCAATTCCATTACTTATTCCGCAAAAGAATCTACCAACAATCAATTCCTGAGAAAGAAAAATAAATCTTTTATAAATAGTGAAAATTTTATATTTTATATTAAAAATTCGAAAATCATTGATTGTTATTTAATTATAATATGAAACATATTTATTATAAGAATTATAAGAAAAGTATTAAATTAAGTATTAAATAATACTCGATGTGCATATTTATATCTCATAGTTAATATCAGCTGTATCAATAGTTAATATCTACATAACTGTATTAAAGTATTATACATATCTGCTTAAAGTATTAACTATATCTCTGAGAAATAAAACAATAAATTGTAGACTAATCGTAGAATCATTTTAATTGAAAAATTATCGTAATTGTAAAATTCATAAAATCATATTCTTTTTTTGATTAACATGTTTATACAGTAATGAAATATACATTTAATAGAAGTTACCCATGCTGACGTTGCAAAAGCAATCATCATCCATCCTATTATCATTGGTATCGCAGTGAAAAGTAGAGTCAATTTCCTACCAATTATATTTATAATATAAGTACAATATATTGCACCCACAGCTGCACCCATGGTAAAAATGGATGTAACCCATGTAGCTTGTTGTGATGTTAAAGGTATAGGACTATTATTTTGCATTAAAAGAGACAATGAAGGTGATGGCCAGCCAAAGAATAAACCATATGAAATCATACCTACATTACCTAATAATCAATTAAGAATGTTAAATAATTTTTTATCCAATTCTATTTTTTACTCTTTTCAGTGTATTAACAATTTTACAAAACTTTACAACCTTACAAACTTTAATAATATAATAAAATAATACACGTAATAATAAATTTGACAAAACTTACTAGCAAAAACAGCTAAATATATTTTCTTCATGATGATGGTAAGGCGTATGGAAGACAAATGAACCATCTAGCTTAAAGAAAGATCTATCAAATGATAAAAATAATGTACTTTATAATATACATACATTCTAGATAGTAGATAATGGTTCCTTATTAAATCTACATAAAGTACTCATAATCATTGAATGAATGCATTGTTATCAAACAGAATATATCTTTAATTATAACGTAACATACCGAGATAAAAATATTAAAATATTATTATTAATACATTGAATTAAATATTGACAATATCATAAAATTGATTATAATTCATAACGTAAAATTGATAAAATACTAAATTCAATTATATTTTATTATACTGTACGTAATAAAAATAGAATAACAAATAATTTTAAACTGCAGTAGGTATAATTGTAAGTTATTATTTTATTATTTCTAATTATATTTTAGTAAATCTTTAATATTTAATTTATATTATTAAAATAATGAATAGAAAACAATTGCATCACATATAAATAATCTCATTAATAATATCATTAATAATAATACATATAACTGTGCAATAAAGTGTTCATCGATTATTTATTTTTTATTTTGTAAATATATAAATATATATTCTCTTTGTACTGTTCTTTAGAATTAGTAGAAATATTAGATTAGTAATAAATACAATGTATTAAGTCTATTACAAAAGAATAGTTTTGTATGATTTATTTGTATACTAAGAGATTTATAAATACATAAAATCTAATAAATATTGTATACTACTATATTTCAATTATAAATAAAGATTGATACTATACTTTTTATCTATTGAATATTAAACTAAGAAATTAATTATCAATTTGATAATATATAAATTTATCACAGTTTGTAATGCTTGGAGTTATTTTCTTTTTTTTTTTAAGATAACTATAATTAAAATATTTCTATTTACAATAATAGCTGATATTATTCTTACACTTTCTTTTAATTTTATTATTTTAACAATAATTAACAAAATTTCAAATTTCATTGATCAATTCTGTCACAATTATATAAATACAATTACCATTTGTCAAATATGTTATAAATTTATGTACATTATATTTATCAATTTATAAATAATGAATATTAGAAACCAGAATAAATGTTAGTAAAAAATTGCTTAATAAACGACATTTATATCTTTTTACATGACAAAAGGTATTTGTTTAAATAGATATCAAATCATTATGTGCAAAAACATGACAAAATATGATTATAAAATTGATAGTATTTTGAATATTACATAAATACTGTTTTCTATTTGCATATACTATGTAAAAACACAGCCAATTATATTAAATTTCTTAAAATTTCTTAAAAAATACTGAATTTGTATTCTCTTTCCATTACAATTTTATAATACACTTTCCAACTCCAATAACAATGTACTTTTTTAATTTTATATAATTTAATACATTATGACATTAAAAGAAAAAAATTGTTTCAAATTCATAAGAAACAAATATACTAAATACAATTCGCGAATACTCATTATATATATTTTACAATATTTTAATATTGTAATATTGTAATATTAATGTTAACAATTCTTCCCCTATTTTTCTTCATATATTATGCAAATATTAAAAATAATTGTGAAATATACAATCATGTACAAATTTGTTCTACATATATAGAAATTCTAGAACAATACACGTCAGAAAGTTTATTAAAACTACAACAAATAAATATGTAAAAATTTTCATACAATACTGTTCTTGAATGCGTTTACACCAATTGATATAATAGCACTGTACTTGTAAAGGAACTGTTAACTTTCTTACTAACATAAGGAAAATGTATTACAAATTTACCTGGAACAATTAATTAATTTTATAAAAGAATATAATCATTTTCATGTTAAAATAACTCAATAGAGGAAACGACTTGCAGGCATATTAACTGCACCCCGACAGTTACTAGGTGGAGGATTTTCATCATCAGAATTCTCATTCTTTCGAAATAATATTGAATTATGCCGTCCGCGTTGTGATTTTTCAGCTTGATGTCTCAATTCCTCAATATAAGCTGTAGTATCATTTGCCACTAGTTCTTGTAAATGTTTATTTAATGTTAATAATTCGGGTTTATCTTCATCATAAAGTCCTTCAAATGGCACAGTTTTTTCATAAAACAATATATAAGGCGTATCTGGTGGTTTTAAATCCTTAAAATCATTAAATGTCGTTTGTGAAACATAACTATCATTAAATTTGTACCAATTTTGTTTCGAATCGCGAGCATAAGTGAAATAATGACCATAGTCCATACTATAACCCGAATGAACAACAGCTGCATATAATTGATAATTTTCTGTAGTTGTGCATAATGATGTTGATACTGGTAATTGTATAGTTTCATTATACATCACCTTATGCCGTAATTTTGTTCTTAATCTCGTATCAAAATCATAACGAAAATGTTTCAATATTAAAATTAAATATGTAGGTGCATGCAAAATTTTTATAATTCTTTGTGCATCGCATAACTTCATACATTTATCGCAACGATATTTATTTTCACCAGTTAATTTTTCTGGTGTAAGATAATAATTTATAAGATCTTGAACAGAAACTTCTTGATTTTCTTGAATCTCTTCTGGGAAACATAATTGTAAATCGCGAAATTTATCAGTATTATCAGAACTAGTATCACATTGAGCACATTGATAAGTAATTTTACATTTTCCTCCTAATACTCTATGCACAAGAGGTACTTGAGTACTTGTATCTTCTCCACCTACAGATTGTATTCCACTATCTGTAGAATCCGAATGTGAATCACTAAGTTCCTGTACTTGTGCTAAATCTTCACCTGCAATAATATAAATTTAAAATAAAATATATTTAGAATAATATTGTTATACAAACATTTTAATAAAAAAGATTAAAGAATGGAAAATACCATGAGTAAAATCTGCTAATGATTGTGTTTTTCTTTCTAATACAATACTTCCACTTAAATCTTCTTCAGTAGTCCAACGTTTAATACTAGCTCCTTCCTCACTTATTGATGAAATATCATTTATTTCTCTATCATCCTTATATTTAAGATTAGTATTAGCTTCACCATTTATAGTAGTTGACTTTTCTTGCTCATGTAAAAGATCTAAAAGATGACTGTTGAAAAATAACATATTATTTAAATTACATGGAAAGATATTTTAATTAAAATTAAATATTACAATTAAATCATAAATATTAGCAAAATATAAAATATAAAATATAAAATATAATATAAAATAATAATATAAAATATAAAATATAAAAATTAGCAAAAACATTTTTTTCAAATATTATTTTAAATTTTTATTAATGTATATTTAATTTAAACATTCAAAACATATTTTCTATTAAAAATATTTTATTAAATAATGACTCTTTTATCTATGAACAATTAATAAATAATAATTATAAATTGTTATTCTAAATAATAAAAAAAAAGCATTAAAATATTAATAATATATTAACCAGAGAAATTCTGAACTATCTTGTTGTTGACCCGGTAAAAAATAAGCAGGACGTGAAGCTAATAAAACTTCAGTTGGTGCCAAGGAAATTCTTTTTGAATATAATAATAAAGCAAATAGATTTTGCAACTTTTTAAGTACAATTTGATCATCAGTTTTGCTTAAAGGTTTGTACATTAATATTTCATAACAAAATTGTTTAGTCATTAACAATGCTTGTAATACACTATTCATATAACATGTATTTCCAAGATTTGAAAGTCCAACTTTTCCCAAATGTGTTTTTGGAGATTCAATTATTGGTTCAATTTCTTCCATTTCATCTATCCAAACATGTTCATTCCATATTTCTTTAATAATGTGCATTCGTGGTTGAACTGGAAAACTACTTTCTAAATTATTGCAAACACGCTGATTTGAAAATCTTAATGTAAGTATTTTCATAATATCAACTAAATTTTGTATGCATTCCTTGCTTGATTCAGAATCTTCTTTCATTAGAAAAAAAGATATCACTATTTGTGTGTTTCTTATTATACTTTGAAACAAGGTTGGAGATCCTTGTCTTTTTAATATATAAAATATAATTGTGGAAGCATTTTGACGAAATACAGGTACAGATAAAGCACGAAACATTACATCAATCTTTGCTTTTGTAACTTCAATAAGTATTGAATATTTATGTCTTTTTTCTAATCCAAGTATAAACTCCATAATCCAAATACTTAGTCGATCACCTATCCATTTTGGAAGCCAACTACATAAAACTTTTAAAGCTTGAGTTAATTGGGCATCAGAATGTGATTCAGAAAGAATCCAATTAACAGCTTGTGGTATAATAGAAGGTTCTACTACTTGTAATACAGCAGCTAAACCAGGTCCAGGATCTTGTTTTTGTTTAGTATCAGATATTATTCTATATAATGTTTGCAAACATATGAAAATTAAATTATCATTTTCAATGTTTTTAGATTTTGATCTTACTATTTTTAAAAAGTTTTGTACTTTTGTAGCATTGTCATTGAATTCTGAAATCTTTTTTGGATCGCATGGCATTACAAAAGTAGACAAACTAATAACAATTGCTTCACAAAGTTTTGAATGACTCACAGATTCTGGTAAATATACACTGTGTTCTAATAATACTTGAAGTATCATTGTCAAATGAGACATATCACTGATTTCTGTATTTCTTAACATTGTTGCTATATCATTTGAAATTGAATGAACAGTAAATGGTTTCTCTATCAAATATTTTGAAAACCAAATCATAATTCTTGAAACTTCTTGTACATTTTTTATTTCATCATTGAGTATTTCTCGTAAAATACTTTCATAATTATTTAATTGCCCATATACGGGCTCACTTTCTAATTTTTGAAGTCTGGTCCATCCTTCAATAATATCCGCATTTTTACCAGTTATTATTAAATTTAAACATTGTTTGATATCGTACTTAAGAATTTGTTCAGTATTCATTGTTCACAAATTATTATTTTAACACCTCTTTAAACTACTTCGCTTACAATTTTTAGCAAGAACTATTATTAACCTCAACTAAGAATGACTTTCACGAAAATCTAAATGATTTCATGGTTCTAGAGAAATA